GAACTTGAGATGGGGACAATAGTCCGAATAATGTAAATAGTGTACATAATACCTCATCTCAGAAATATAGACAGATACTGAAATAAAGGATTGTTTAGCTGATTGTTTTTATCGCTAAATTACTTCGTGATTCGAATAAAGTCGTTTTTTCTACCATTAAATTGTTACCAGCCTTATCGCTTTGTTCACAGAATATTGAGACTAAATGTGACGAAGGACATGACTTACCTCAAAGTTCAAAACGAGTGCGAACGTGTTTTGCCTGCAAAGTAACGAGGAAAAGAAATATGGCCACTATCGAAGACACAATTTATGCGCGCCGGTCTCGTCCAAAACGAGACGATATTCGCACACATGCAAATTTCGGCCGTATCAGACTGGCATAGAAAGCGTGAGTCGGGAGTCATTCGGCGGATTTCGTGCAATAGAGTTGGACGTACGAATTGACTGACAGACAAAGAGGAAGTCAAAGTAGGCGCGGCTGAGTTGGTGTCTGTTTCGTGACTGCCCGGCGTAACGGCCGAGAAAGAGTCTCGCAATCCATTTCCTTGAGGCGACCGACGACGAATGACGAACAACTGGTCTTCCGGCGAACGGCGCAATGCACTTTCTGACCCCCCACCTCTCGTCACTTTTTTTTTTTTTTTTTTTACTACACTAAAAAGAATAAAGCAAACTATAAATACTGTTTAAGGGTATATTTTGAAAATCAAAGAAATACAAATTTTCATTTTTTAAGTATTTATCTTTTTCCTGTTTTCTTCATAAATTTAATAAAATAACTTACTCGATTAGTTTTGCCTTATGCTGTTTATGGAAAACTAATGTGATAGTTTCTAAGATGTTTACATTGGCATGATTCTCCAATGACCTGACACCATCAAAATGTTTTTGTGGGGAAAATTGTGAAAATGGCTTACCTCGGAAACGCGTGCGAATCTGTGCAGTGTGCAAACTCTGGTTCTCCCAACGGAAAAAGGAACCAAAATGGCGGCGCCCATGTTTTATGCCGGGCGGTCTCGGTTAGTTAACGCGAAATCTCGTTGTCTCGTCATTCGCATGCAAATCGTGGTCGGTCCTCGGTTGTATAAAGCGGGCGCGTTTTTCTGTTTGGGATCAGAAGGCTTTTGGCTCGTGAGAAGGTTGGACGTGTGACACCGGTTTTGTCGGTTACCCTCCTCGCGGTTTTTTGTTCCTACTTGCTATTATCAGTTGAGTTGTTACCCCCACAGTTTTAAAAAATAAAACTTATATTGGCGTGACGAAATGTAATTCAAGTATCTGGAAATTTTATTTATTTTTTTATTATTTTTTTTTTTTAGGTAAGAAATTTGAATTTATGAGAATATGTAGATCCCTAGACTTGAAAAGGTTAAAATAGTCGTGATCGGGGAGCACCCTCTCGGGAGTTTGTTCTACAAAGAAGTGGTTCTTGGGGAAAAGATGTCCTAATAGAAATTCCTTTTTACTAATGAGATACAAAGGAAATAGGGACCATTTGTTCCAGTGTACATGACATGGCGGGGATTAGCTTTAAAGGTCTGAACTAGTCAAACTAAGAAATGTAGTTCGTCAGAACATTTGCCATTGAAACAGCGATAGAGTACCGAGAGGCTAGAGAGTGACGTTTCGTTCAGGAGGAAAGTGACTTTTTCGTACGGGCAGCATTTAAAATGGTTCCTGCAGAGAGTTCTTGATTAAGCCTTCATCACAATAGGTAGGATGCAGTAGAGGCGATAGGCATCAATAAACTACAGAAGAACTCAAAACTGATCGCTGCATTTAAGTATTGAATTAATATATAAGCTTAACCTTTAAAAGTTCAACGATAATTCTTCTGTCGCCAATTAATTTAAAGATAGTTTGATGTACATAGGTCCTTATTTTCCGTACAAACAATCATTTTTTTATTTCATGGCTGACTTTCGCCGAATTTTGCAGTTAATTTCGATTATTCCCAAATTTAAGTTATAAAAATTGTTATCGTACAAAAATCCGTAGCAAAAAATAACGTACAAAAATCTCCGAAAACAATCCCAGTAATAAAAACTTGGGAATCCAAAATTTCAGGATTGCGTGTTCGGAACCGGACTGGAATGTTTTTAATTTGATCATGGAGTCGGCCTGATTCCAAAATGGTATAATAGGTTGGACTACGGCCTCTAAGAGTAAAGTTAAAAAAAGTGTGACACACTGAAATTCGCATTTACTATAGTGAGAAGAAAAAGATGAGCTAGTAAAAGTTAGAGAGTTGTGCCCCTTTAACTGAAAAAGCTTGACATACTGACATTCGCATTTATTATATAGAAGTATCCAACATTATCCATTACTAAACTAATAAGAACATGCGATAAAATATAACAGCTTGGTCGTATGGAATTCATAGACCATGAGGTTTACAATGTTTCTTTTATGAAAAGCTGAAATATTTCTGACGATGTAAACGAATACGCGATTATTGGATGCGGATTCTAACGCGTTTACCATCGCGCCAGGAAGTCTACATGTCGTATATGGAACCAATAACTAGTAATATATTTAAACCTCTCGAACTACTTTTTTTCGAGCATTTCGATAATAACATTTTACGATTTACGCAAATCCCCCAAACGAAGAAACGACTATGTACCAAAGGAAAAGAATTAGCACGTGAATCAGTTATAATTGCTAGTTAAATAATAAATACTTCATACCAGAATTCAAACGAACAAATGCCACTTCGTCTAGATATAATGAGTAAAATTGAAAGATTTTATTAACGACGCGTTTCACTAGAGAGCGTATACTATCCTCGCCTTCCTCAAGTTAAAATGAAAGAATGACAAAATGGCGTGTAAGGGAAATGCCTTCTGATCTCTTCGGATAAGTGGGAATCATAAATCAAATTAATTACCTTAGCTTGTCACCTCCCAATGTTCAAATTTAGGGAGTGTTTGTTCGCTTATGTGACTGTTTATTTTATTTATATCTGTATTAGAGCCATGTGGTATTGTAGGATTTTAAATAAGGGATTTTCTTTATATATATATATATATATATATATATATATATATATATATGACAGACAGAGAACGATATTTTCTATGAAATTTCTCGGACATTCAGGCCGGTAAATGTTATTTAATACTGTTTATCATAAACAGAGCATTTGTAAATACTTGTATCTATAAATAACAACGTTAAACATAAAAATGTCTTTAATAAATAAATTGTCGGACCTTGTCCATTTCTTAACATATGACGTCATTTGTTTACATTCGATACTCCAGAGCAGTTATGAATGTACGAGATTCATGGAAGATTGAAGTTTATAAACAGTAAATTCGACCTTGTCTACCGTAAGGTTCTTTGTGGCCGAGACGGTTAAGGCACGTCAGAATATATATATATATATATATATATATATATATATATAGATATAGATATAGATATAGATATAGATAGATAGATAGATATATAATATTAGTGGTAAATAGTGGGTACACCCCTATGTGTATATACGTGTATATGTTATTGTGTATGTGTGTATTCGCATGTGTTTTTGAACATAAAAATATAGGTCCTTGCTGGATTAGATAATCGTTATATTTATTTTTTATATGTTTATAGTTGATTTGTAACCTGTAGTCGATATTAAATTTGTCAAATTTTCTCAATTACAAAGCGGCCCTTTAAGTAAACGCAATTTCATTTTCCTTCGCCCCATCTCTCTCCCCCACCTCGTCTTTCCCTCCCTCTTATTCTAACATTAAATTTTCTATAGTGTGTGTATGTCACCATGAAATGTATCTTTACACTTCTGACAACATTCATTTTGCTCTTACTTAAACCCCTTCCACCCACCTCTCCTAATATCCTCTCTGTTATGGTTTAATCTCCCTCTCCCTCATACTTACACTCTCTCTAAATTCTGTTTTTATTTCCGGAGTTGTTTTTTATTGTCTTCCTTTTGAATTTCTAGGTCTGATGAATTGGATCGTATTTACGATTCCAATGGAATAAATTATGATCATGGAATATTAGTGTTTAAGCCTTTTTTATTATATATATATATATATATATATATATATATATATATATATATATATATACTTGAGCACACGTGTACATACACACCCACCTAGGAATATACATATATTAGGGAAATTTTTTGCATGCTTGTACATATATGTAAACATATACATGAACATTAATAAATACCTGTGCATGCCGTCTCTTCCACCAACCCCGCAGCTATAGGTAAATAGAGCCTCAGCCTTGGTTGGCGACTAGTCTAGGATAAGTAAAATTCTAAATTCAAATCAGTAGGGCTCCTACGACCATAAAGGGTTACGGTCTCATGGTAGTTGTTGAAGTCAGACGTTTTTTTTTTGTTCTTTACAGTATCTGCCTATATTTCTGAGATGATATATTATGTACATTATTTACATTATTCAGACTATTGTCCTCATCTCTGTCGCCATATTTATTACAACGTTTCGGTCGTTGTACGCTCCAGCCTTCTTCAAGTGGTTGGAATGTCGAACTAAACCCTTTATTTTGCTCACTGGGATAGACTGTTCTAGTTCCACGTGCCATGTTTAATGGACGTCAGTTATCAGTTATCTCCTGTTAATTTTCCTCTGAAAGTTCTCCACTGCCTTAACCAGGTATTGAACTCACACTCTTTAGGACCTGTCACTGGATCTAACTAACGCCATTGTCCACCGTGCCATATGTTTTTTACAGACATAATATCTACACTCAATGTTTAACCAACCTTGTACAACTTCAGGTGACTGAGTTTAGATTTCTGAGTTGTCCATCTCCTAGACTGTTTGCCAACCACGGCGTAGTTTGCTTGACTATTTAACTCATCTTTGGTGAGGAGAAGAGATAGGTTTATGTTTTTGCGAATGTTATGCATGCGAAAATGAATGTAAAGATCTCGGTTAGAATTCGAGGACAGATAAATAAGCGTGAACTTGTTAAAAAAAATGCAGCTTACACCTACATCTTGTTAAAAAACCGGTTCCAGTAAGAACTCTGAAGTTAAGCATGGTTGAGTTTGGTCAGTAACTAGATGGGTGACCGCTTGGGAATAACAGGTGTTTGGATGTGCGGGTGGTGTAATAGATAATGGCTAGGAATTGTTAATCAGAGAGTTGAGTTTAAATTCCTGTTGAGTTTGATATCGTCACATACGCGCAAATAGCCCTAAGAAAGGTATGAATCCACAAGCTATGGGTTAATAAGTGAAATCTTTAAATAAATTGCAAAAGATTTATAAGCCATAGAAAACAAATCAATCAGTCAATTAAACATAGAAAACAAATCGATCAATTAAACATATAAAAAATCAATCAATCAATCAATAAAAAATATAAAAAATCAGTCAATTAAACATAGAAAACAAATCGATCAATTAAACATAGAAAACAAATCGATCAATTAAACATATAAAATCAATCAATCAATAAAAAATATAAAAAATCAGTCAATTAAACATAGAAAACAAATCAATCAAACATAAAAAACAGATCAATCAGTTAAACCATAGAAAACAAGTCAATCAATTAAATATAGAGAACAAACCAATCACTTAAAACATGAGACAAAAGTATGTGAAAATAAATTGAAACAACAATGAAAAACAGTGAAAAACGAGAAAGATGGTGTGATAGTAATATATAGGCTGCCCAGTAAAAAAGCGGGTAAGTTCAGAAAGAAATTTATTTAGCTATCATGATTCATGCAAAAACTGAACAATCATCGTAGATATTCGAAATGTTTGCCTGAATGTTCAACACAAAGTTGTAAACGTGGTAACCAAGAGGCAGTAGCTTTGCTGATGGTGTCAAGAGATATTTCATTCCAAGCTTCAATTAAGTTCCATTTCAATGAATCAATATCGACGATGTCGCGACGACGGTTTTGCAAGTGAGATTCAGGATATACAGTAATCCATGACATTCAGATCTGGACTTTTAGAGGGTCAAAATAAAGAGTTGGTTTGAGCATGGTGGCCTTGTTCATGTTGTTGATCACGCTAGATAAAACACTCATTCCCAGAATCCATGAGACTAAGGTCAGCTCAGGATAGTTACAGTATAAACCACAGAGCAGGCGTCTGCAATAGGGATTGGCTAGCCGCCCTAGTAGACGATTGTTCTCGAATACGAATAATCAGCTAATTAATATATATATATATATATATATATATATATATATATATATAAATGGGACAAGGTCCGACAATTTATTTATTAAAGACATTTTTATGTTTAACGTTGTTATTTATAGATACAAGTATTTAAGCAAATGCTCTGTTTATGATAAACAGTATTAAATAACATTTACCGGCCTGAATGTCCGAGAATGTTGTTTACATTCGATACGCCAGAGCAGTTATGAATGTACGAGATTCATGGAAGATTGAAGTTTATAAACAGTAAATTCGACCTTGTCTACCGTAAGGTTCTTTGTGGCCGAAACGGTTAAGGCACGTCAGCGTATATGACGTTTCCGTATAGGATGCAGGTTCGAATCCTGGCAAAGAACGAATATTTTCGGCCGGTAAATATTTTCATAAACAGAAATTGCTTAAATACTGAAAACAAAACGTATTGGAATAAATATACATAAGAAAACCGTGAGAGATAATCAAAATAAAAAAAAGCGTTGGATAAGTCAAAATGGAAAAGAAAAAGAAGAAAAGGATAAAGATACAGTAAAAGACGAAATAAAGAGGAGCAAAGAAAATTGAAAAGCGTAAGAAGAGAGATATAAACCTTGCAGAGAGAAGTTAAAGAGAGCTGAAATTAATAGGGTCAAAAAGTGTAGTGGGTAGGTGACGTGATAGCGCGATTAAGAGAGAGAGAGAGGGGAAAACAACTGAAATAAAGAGAGTGACTTAGACGTAAACGACAGTGAAGAATTCGCAATGTCTTTTTGTAAAGCGAATAACAGCGAGTAGTGAGGTTTGTCAAGTGACCAGCTAAGTTGGAATTAACAATGGTTACCTTAATCATCATGTCTTGCTTTGTCGCTTGAGGCAGTCTTTTCTTCTTTTCTTTTTTTTTCATTTAAATACATCGGTAGGGATAAAGGCTTTTTTTCAGTTGATTGGAAAATGAAAGCCCTCATGTGTCAGCGACGAAATCTTTGGCAATATAAGAGAAATCGGACTGAAGACATCACGATGTTTGATAGAGCTTCCTTAAAGAGATATTGACTCTGGTGATAAATTGTTCGGATGCACAATGAAATTTTGCATGGAATGCTTCCAAGAGTATCATGCCGTTAGAAAAATATTCAATCTGGATTTGGTATCTCGGTTTCAGTCACTTTCACACCGCGGTAACATAACTTCCCTGTGTTTGTTTCTATAAATAATGCCACGGTAATTGTTTTGGTGAGCTTTTTCTCGTTGGTACATCGACTTCAGGAATTTAAGCGCGGAACTCGATTGACAGGTAGGCCTCATAATTTCACAGTCGAAATTTGTAGCTGTAACCGTAGGTTCTATGCTAACTGTTTCTTCACTAGGGTTCTCTCGCTTGTGGAAATCTCTCCTGCTTTTCTGTCAACTACGATCTTCAAAAATGTAAATAAAAATTACATCTCTCTCTCTTTTTCTCTTCCCTCTCCCCACTCTGTCTATTTCTATCTATCTATTTGTCTTTCTCTCTAGCTTTCGTTATCCCTCTACCCTTGAAAGATATTCTCATTATATTTATATACGCTCTGTCCCCGATATTGAGAACTGTAACCCCATAAATATAGCATACCTTAAAATTATATTTGATCATATTCATAAATATATATATATATATATATATGTATATATATATATATATATATATATATATATATATATATATATATATATAACGCAATCATATATATATATATTATAAATTAATTGATTTAAAATATGCTTTTTTTTTTTTTTTCACAGTTCTAACCATGTTTCAGTTAATTTATAATATTAATGCTCTGTAAATTTACATTGAGCACTATTTTGTAAAAATAAAAATATCTATAAGAACACCGGATTATATATTTTACTGTTCTTTCTTTTATATATATATATATATATATATATATATATATATATATATAACATCTTTTGTTCAATAATATCTAATTTTCTATAAACTTTTATTTTTTTGTGTATGTGTATAACTGTTTTTGGTTAATTCCGGCCTTATCATACACACACATACACACACACACACACATATATGTATGTATGTATGTATGTATGTGTGTGTGTGTGTGTGTGTGTGTGTGTTTTGTTTAAGACTTGGTTATATTTATCGGGGCGAGTGCTCAATATCGGAGATAGAACGTTTATAGATATAGACAGTGTCGAAAATGCGACCTGACGACTTTCCAAAATCTGATGACCAAATGACCAAACTTTAATTTTCTTATTAATCCTTTTTGGTCAGGTCCAGAACTTTTCAGTTGCCCCTCAAAATCATACACATTACAGACATCCATTTAAATAATAATAATAATAATAATAATAATAACTATTTTAAAGATGATGAATACCGTGAGTGCAGGCTTCATTTTATTTCTGAAGACTGGTGTCATTATTGTCATTATGCTTGATTAAGGCAATGTTACAAAGTGGGGTAGTAGTAATGGCGATTGTGGAACAGTTTAAGATGGGGAGGTGGATGGAGACAACTGAGAAGAATGAAATGAAAATAATAGCAATGGTGCTCATCATGAGAGTAGACATAATATCTGCGTGGGTAGGTAATGCCGTACATGACAGGAGGGGAAACAAAGAGGAGAGGATGACGGAGGAAATTAGCTATGACGCCGCTGACAATGACGGTAAATGTTTTCTCGTGGTGATGAAGGTGGTGATGGTTCGGGCTTTAATGGAGACGAGCCATGATACAGTGTGAGGTGCTGTTGCTAGCGACTCTTTTAATAGTTGTGAGGGCGATGGTTGCATTGTTTATGTCTTTATGGCGTTGTAAGCGAGGACGTAGATGCTTCTGCCGGTAGTTGTGTCGATGATTATGAGGTAATGTTGATTATTCTATGGATAGCCTTGATTGAAATGTAGCCTTATCATAATGAGTTCAGTTTCACCGGTTGGATACTGACACTAGGGGAAGTGGTGCAAATAGTTGCATCTGTAGTTATGATTGTAAGGAGAAGAAAATTATAATTCTGATTATGTCATCATTTGTCGAATTATGATGATAATGACAATCTTAGTGAAATTATTTGTGCAGTAATCTTGATGAGGATGAAGAAAACAATATCTTATTCATGCTGTTCTTAACAATATTTCGATATGTGTTAATACTACTGGATTGGTGGTTGATATGGTTGTAGGTCTTAGATCTTGGTTAGTTGAGATGATCGATAAGGTGGGGTATGTGGTATGGATATGGTGGAGGATGTGCTGGTGATAGTGGGGAATATTCTGGTAGCATTGGTGGGGATTTGGTATGTTTGTGATGTTGGTGGTATGGTTATGAATATGGTAGTGGTGGTAGTTTGGTATCTATTGGTGGATGCGGGGTGATGGTGGTGGTGGTGGTGATGTGATGTGGTGCTGGCGCAATAGTGGGGAACAGAGAGGTGGATGAAGTAGAGAATTGTTGTAGAGTAGTTTTCACAGTGGAGGCTTGTATTTCAATAAGTCGTCCTAAATTAGGTTCGACGTGCAAAAATGTAGGAACTTGGAAATAAGAGTTAATGACGCAGCAATCTAGTTGTGATGGTTGGTACTTCAATGTCCGATATCGACTGACTCGCTCAACACCACTGAGCCCAACTGGCCACTGCTACTACTACTTATTATCTGTGGGAGAGTCTGTTACAATAGAATAGGTGTTATGGTATAACAAGAATGTACTGTAAAAGAATGTAGGGAAGGATGTGGTAGAGATGGTAGGGGTGTTGGAGGTGGTTGTAGCGGCAGCGGATGGGGTGTTGAATATTCTGGTAGCAATGGTGATAAGGTGGTATGTATGTCGTGTTGATGGTATGGTGATGGATATGATGGCTGTGAGGTAAGGCTGGTGTTGATTTTGGATCTGATAGTTCATATGATGGCGGTGTAGTGGATTTGATTT